CTTCATACCAGTTTTCTGATCACTATCATATCCCATACCAGTGTCCTGATCCCCGACATACCCCATACCAGCTTCCTGATCACCACCATACCCCATACCAGCATTCTGATCTCCGCCATACCCCATACCAGTGTCCTGATCACCGCTGTACCCCATACCAGCGTCCTGATCACCTCCATACACCATACCAGCGTTCTGCTCACCTCCATACCATATCAGCATTCTGATCACCGCCATAACCCCATACTAGAGTCCTGATCACCGCTGTACCCCATACTAGAGTCCTGATCACCGCCATATCCCCATACCAGCATCCTGATCACCGCCATACACCATACCAGTGTCCTGATCACCGCCATATCCCATACCAGCGTCCTGATCACTGCCATACCAGCGTCCTGATCCCCGCCGTACCCCATACCAGTATCCTGGTCACTGCCATATCCCAAACCAGCATCCTGATCACCGCCATACACTATACCAGCATCCTGATCACCGCCATACCCCATACCAGTTTTCTGACCACCACCATACCTCATGTCAGTGTCCTAATCACCACCACACTCCATACCAATTTTCTGATCACCGCCATACCCCATACCAGCGTCCTGATCACCGCCATACCCCATACCAGCGTCCTGATCACCGCCATACCCCATACCAGAGTCCTGATCACCCGCCGTACCCATACCAGCGTCCTGATCACCGCCATACCCCATACCAGCACCCTGATCACTGCCATACCCCATACCAGCGTCCTGATCACCGCCATACCCCATACCAGCGTCCTGATCACTGCCATATCCCATACCAGCGTCCTGATCACCGCCATACCCCATACCAGCGTCCTGATCACCTCCATATCCCATACCAGCGTCCTGATCACCGCCATACCCCATACCAGCGTCCTGATCACCTCCATATCCCATACCAGCGTTCTGCTCACTTTCATACGTCATACCACCGGCCAGCATTTTAGGGTCTCAACTGATCAATTTTCAGATATCTATCCCATAGTTTATAGACTCTATAGCTTTCACACACTGTACACTATTTTGGGTTATTTTACGCCAAAAATGTAGCAGAATACATTTTGGCCTAAATTTCTGAAGAAAGATTATTTATTTGCATAATTTTATAACAAAAACTAATTCTCTGTAATTTTTCATTTATATAGCAAAGAATAAAAAAAAGCTCAATGGTGATCAAATACCACCAAAAGGAAGCTCTATCTGTCTCAAAAAAAATTATAAAAAATTCATATGGGTACAATATTGCCTGACCGTGCAATTGTCACTCAAAGTGTGATAGTGCTGAAAGCTGAAACTTTGCCTGAACTGGAAGGGGGTGAAAGTGTCCGGGCTTGAAGTGGTTAATATAGCAGCACAGTGGCTAAATGGTTAGCACTTCTGCCTGGCAGTACTTGGGTCATTGGTAGGAATCCCAGCCAAGGCACCACCTGCCTGGAGTTTGCATGTTCTCCATGTGCCTGTGTGGGTTTCCTCCGGGTACTCCGGTTTCCTCCCACACTCCAAAGACATGCTGGTAGGTGAATTGGCTCCTGTCTAAATTGTCCCTAGTATGTGTATGTATGAATGTGAGTTAGGGACCTTAGATTGTACGCCCCTTGAGGGTTAGGGACCTTAGATTGTACATCCCTTGAGGGTTAGGGACCTTAGATTGTACGCCCCTTGAGGGTTAGGGACCTCAGATTGTACGCCCCTTGAGGGTTAGGGACCTTAGATTAAACGCCCCTTGAGGGCTAGGGACCTTAGATTGTACGCCCCTTGAGGGTTAGGGACCTTAGATTGTACGCCCCTTGAGGGCTAGGGACCTTAGATTGTACGCCCCTTGAGGGTTAGGGACCTTAGATTGTATGCCCCTTGAGGGTTAGGGACCTTAGATTGTACGCCCCTTGAGGGTTAGGGACCTTAGATTGTACGCCCCTTGAGGATTAGGGACCTTAGATTGTACGCCCCTTGAGGGTTAGGGACCTTAGATTGTACGCCCCTTGAGGGTTAGGGACCTTAGATTGTACGCCCCTTGAGGGTTAGGGACCTTAGATTGTACACCCCTTGAGGGTTAGGGACTGATGTGAATGTACAATATATATGTAAAGTGCTGCGTAGATTGACAGCACTATATAAGTACCTGAAATAAATAAAAATAAATGTTTTAAAATCAGTTGTTAAAAAAAACTAATGCAGCGTATGTGCATGATGGGCCCCATGGTGTCATGCTCACACATGTGCAATACGACACTACTGAAAGGACTCACAAGATCTGGCCTGATCTCAAAAATTAGGTATGAGATTTCCCCGATGACGTTACTCTCCCATTGCTTCAGTAACCTGTTTTTAAAGGGAAGCCATAGTTCTGCTTTAAAGTGGGTTCTGTCCCTTGCAGTACTGCTTTTGCATCACAAGATGTCCTCAGTCTTCCCAGTTGAAGGATGTTTGGTGTCTGGGGGGGCAGGGAAGTCACTTGGGGGGGGGGGGGGGGGGCACAGTGCCCAGAGTGGGGCTTTAACCATCTTTGGCAATGGGAATCTTCAGGGCTTTTTACTCATACGATAGGTGGAGGTATTCCCCCTTCTGAGTTACCCCTTGTCCCTGCCCTCCCCCTCCCACCCACCTCTGACCATCATCCTTTGGTTCCACCCCCTGCTCACCTTCAAGTACCACCCCCTTTTAGAGAATACAGAACTAAGTATCATTTTATGGTGCTTTGTAATGTGGATTGAATGTGTTAAAGACAACCATAAAAGTAGTTAAATAGATCCCCTGCAGCCAGCAACAATAGACCCCCTCCCCAGCAACAATAAACCCCATTCCCAGTAACAATAGACCCCCTTCAGCAACAATAGGCCCCCCAGCAGCAATAGATTTCCCCAGCAACAATAGTTCACCCAGCAACAATAGACCCCTTCAGCAACAATATATCGCGCAGCAGCAATAGACTCCCCCAGGAACAATAGTTCACCCAGCAACAATAGATCCCCAGAATCAATATATCCCTCAGTTACAATAGATCTACCCCAGAAACAATATATCCCACCAGCAACAATAGACCCCCAGCAACAATAGTTAACACAGAAACAATATATTCCCTCCCTCCGCAACAATAGATCCCCCAGAAGCAATACATCCTTCAGTAGCAATAGATCTACCCCAGAAACAATATATCCCACCAGCAACAATAGACCTCCCAGCAACAATAGTTCACCCAGCTACAATAGACCCCCATCAACAGCAATAGATCCCCCAGAAGCAACATATCCCTCAGTAACAATCAGGGGCGGACTGACAACTCATGGGGCCCCCGGGCAATAGGAGATCATGGGGCCCCTGTGTCCTTGCCCAAACTCAAAAAAGCCTATGAAAAAGGTACCAGGGGCATCTCATGGGGCCCCCTACTGACCCCGGGCTTCCAAATGGTCAGTCCACCCCTGGTAATAGTAGATCTACCCTAGAAGCAAAATATCCAACCAGCAACAAAGACCCCCCAGACACAATAGACCCCCAGCAACAATAGTTCACCCAGCAACAATAGAACCCCCCTCAGCAACAGTAGATTCACCAGAAGCAACAGTAATAGCAATATCCATCAGTAACAATAGATCTACCCCAGAAACAATATATCCCACCAGCAACAATAGATCACCCAGCAGCCAGCATCAATAAACCCCCCCCTGAACAGTAGATCCCTCGCAGCAACAATAGACTTCCTACTCCCCCCCACCAACATTAGATGTGCCCCCATCTTCAATAGATCCCCCAGCATCCAGCAGCAAATAGACCCTCCAGCACACCCCACAACCCCTTGCCATTGCATACATTCACATAGCTGCCAACTATCCCTGATTTTGAGGGCTGTCCCTCATTTGGAACAAAGTCCCTCTGTCCCTCTTTCCTCCTAATTTGGTCTGATTTTGGTCTGATGTACATACCTTTATTAAAAATGAGTTTTACAGCGTTACACCTTTCATCCAATTTATAAATTGTTGCATTTGTACATTTCAAAAGCCGCTATAAAGGAACAGTAGGGGGAAAAAAAGCACTTGTGGGTTTCTGTACACAGAATCAAACTGCGCAAGTCTCCAATCACCTTATCATACAAAGCTGCAAATATTAACCCCTTCCCGTCCGGCCCATGTACATAAACAGCCGGGCGGGAGCAGTGCAGGAGCAGGTTGCCATTCATAAACGGTGCCCGCACTTTCAGCCTGTGTGCAGTACCTGGGAACTCCTCCGCACACAGCGGAACACCAATCGCTGTACAGGGCCTCTATGTGAGGTCCTGATCATGTGATCACTGATTGGCCAATCAGTGACCACATGAATAGTAGTAAACAAGATGTCACTTTTGACATCATTGCTTACTACTTGTGAAATCTGTGAATGATCACAGAGATCACATGGTACAGGGCTATTCAGAACGGCCTTGTACCATGTGATAAGCTGTGACCAATCACAGCTCACAACAGTATTTCTCAATGTCTGCAAGAATGCAGCCAGAGAGGAGAAATGATTGCTTTTACAGCCTTTATGGGTGTAAAAGCAATCAGAGTAAAAAAAAAACAAAAAATTGTTTTGAAAAAATTATAATTTTTTGGTTTATAAACTAATTTGGGTTATTTTTTTTTGATAGCTGAACACATTTTGGCCAAGATTTTATGAAGAAAGATTATTTATTTGCAAAATTTTATAAGGAAAACACTTCTTTTCAAAAATTTTGGACATTTTCATTTATATATATACAGTATATATATATATAAAAAAAAATCCCCAGTGGTGAATAAATACCACCAAAAAAAATAAAGTTTTATCTGTCTCAAAAAAATGCTCAAAAAAATTCATATGGGTACAGTGTTGCATGACCACGCAATTGTCATTCAAAGTGTGATAGCGCTGAAAGCTGAAAATTGGCCTGGGATTGAAGGGGGGTGAAAGTGTCCCCGACTGGAAGGGGGTGAAAGTGTCCGGACTGGAAGGGGGTGAAAGTGTCCAGACTGGAAGGGGGTGAAAGTGTCCGGACTGGAAGGGGGGAAAGTGTCCAGACTGGAGGGGGGGGTGAAAGTGTCCGGACTGGAAGGGGGTGAAAGTGTCCGGACTGGAAGGGGGGAAAGTGTCCAGACTGGAAGGGGGTGAAAGTGTCTGGACTGGAAGGGGGTGAAAGTGTCCGGACTGGAAGGGGGTGAAAGTGTCCGGACTGGAAGGGGGGGAAGTGTCCGGACTGGAAGGGGGAGAAAGTGTCCGGACTGGAAGGAGGGGAAAGTGTCTGGACTGGAAGGGGGTGAAAGTGTCCGGACTGGAAGGGGGGGAAAGTGTCCGGACTGGAAGGGGGTGAAAGTGTCCGGACTGGAAGGGGGTGAAAGTGTCCGGACTGGAAGGGGGGGGAAGTGATTGGACTGGAAGGGGGTGAAAGTGTCCGGACTGGAAGGGGGGTGAAAGTGTCCGGACTGGAAGGGGGGAAAGTGTCCGGACTGGAAGGGGGTGAAAGTGTCCGGACTGGAAGGGGGTGAAAGTGTCCGGACTGGAAGGGGGGTGAAAGTGTCCGGACTGGAAGGGGGGGAAAGTGTCCGGACTGGAAGTGATCGGATGAAAATAATAATAAGTGAACTTCACTAGTTATATACATACATTATAAAGACACTCAAATCTGTGAAAAGTGATCAAATAAAAAAAATATAGTCCATATAGACACATAATAAAGTCCATATGAAGATAGAACTCCACAACCAATGGTACCACTCAGGGGCAGACTGACAACATGGGGCCCCTGGGCAATAGGGGATCATGGGCCCCTGTGTCTTTGCCCACACTCAAAAAAATCCTATAAAAAAGGTACCAGGGGTATTTCATGGGGCCCCCTACTGACCCCAGGCCCTCGGGCAGTGCCTGAGTGCTTGACTGGTCAGTCCGCCCCTGGTACCACTGTATACAGGGGTGGACTGACCATTTGGAAACTTGGGCACTGCCCGAGGGCCCAGGGTCAGTAGGGTGCCCCCTGATATGCCCCTGGTACCTTTTTCATAGGCTTTTTTGAGTTTGGGCAAGGACACAGGGGCCCCATGATCCCCTAATGCCCGGGGGCCCCGTGAGTTGTCAGTCCGCCCCTGACTGTATGTCAATGCTGTAAGTGTGATGTTAGTATCACGGATCGTCTTCCTTCAGATAATTCCCCAACGTGTGCACCACCACCACATGATTAAATGGAGGCTTACCAGAAATAGAGACCCCTTAATTATAGGGGTCTCAAAAACAGCATTTCAGTATGGAATGTTAGCAGATTCTCCTATGCATGCCCGAATCATGAATCTTCCAAACCTCCAAGACCCAAATGTGAACTCCAAAAAGATGCCAATTTATATCATAAAAGAGAAAACATGCCTCTCATAGTGAAGTACGTATCACAATCCATTATTTGCACAAATAAAATCCTACTTACAGACTGTAGGACAATCCTAACCACGGCACCACCTGCCTGGAGTTTGCATGTTCTCCCTGTGCCTGTGGGGGTTTCCTCTGGGTACTCCGGTTTCCTCCCACCCTCCAAAGACATGCTGGTAGGTGAATTGGCTCCTGTCTAAATTGTCCCCAGTATGTGTATGTATGAATGTGAGTTAGGGACCTTAGATTGTACACCCCTTGAGGGTTAGGGACCTTAGATTGTACGCCCCTTGAGGGTTAGGGACCTTAGATTATACGCCCCTTGAGGGTTAGGGACCTTAGATTGTACGCCCCTTGAGGGTTAGGGACCTTAAATCGTACGCCCCTTGAGGGTTAGGGACCATAGATTGTACGCCCCTTGAGGGTTAGGGACCTTAGATTGTATGCCCCTTGAGGGTTAGGGACCTTAAATCGTACGCCCCTTGAGGGTTAGGGACCTTAGATTGTACACCCCTTGAGGGTTAGGGACCTTAGATTGTACGCCCCTTGAGGGTTAGGGACCTTAGATTGTACCCCCCTTGAGGGTTAGGGACCTTAGATTGTACGCCCCTTGAGGGTTAGGGACCTTAGATTGTACGCCCCTTGAGGGTTAGGGACCTTAGATTGTACGCCCCTTGAGGGTTAGGGACCTTAGATTGTACGCCCCTTGAGGGTTAGGGACTGATGTGAATGTACAATACAGGCATACCTCGGTTTACTAATTGAATGCGTTCTGCAGGCTTTTCGGATTGCAAAGAATTCGTAAACCGAAATGCAGTTTCCCATAGCAATGCATTGAAAACCAATTAATCCGTTACGGAGGTCAGAAAAAAGTCAAAAAAAGTATTTTATCTGTTCAAAACTCTATATAAAGTTCACTTTAAAGGCATAAATACTGTACAGGAACATGATTAAAAATGAATTCATAAATGCATTGAAAACCAATTAATCTGTTCATATTGCGAAAAAATTTTGTAAATGCATTGAAAACCTATTAATCTGTTCCGGAGGTCAGAAAAAAGTAAAAAAAAAAATCTATTATCTGTTCAAAACTCTTTATAAAGTGCACTTTAAAGGTATAAATACTGTACAGGGACATGATTACAAAACAATTTGCAAATGCATTGAAAACTGATTAATCCGTTCGTATTGCGAAAAAATTTTGTAAATGCATTGAAAACCTATTAATCCGTTCGGAGGTCAGAAAAAAGTAAAAAAAAAATCTATTATCTGTTCAAAACTCTTTATAAAGTGCACTTTAAAGGCATAAATACTGTACAGAGACATGATTACAAAACAATTTGCAAATGCATTGAAAACTGATTAATCCGTTCGTATTGCGAAGAAATTTTGTAAATGCATTGAAAACCTATTAATCAGTTCCGGAGGTCAGAAAAAAGTAAAAAAAAAAAATCTATTATCTGTTCAAAACTCTTTATAAAGTGCACTTTAAAGGCATACATACTGTACAGAGACATGATTAAAAAAAAATTGTAAATGCATTGAAAACCAATTAATCCGTTCGTATTGCGAAAAAATTTTGTAAATGCATTCAAAGCCAATTAATCCGTTCCAGAAGTCAGAAAAAAAGTCAAAAAAGTCTTATCTGTTCAAAACTCTTTATAAAGTGCACTTTGAAGGCATAAATACTGTACAGGGACATGATTACAAAACAATTTGCAAATGCATTGAAAACTGATTAATCCGTTCGTATTGCGAAAACATTTTGTAAATGCATTGAAAACCAATTAATCTGTTCTGGAGGTCAGAAAAAAGTAAAAAAAAAGTATTTTATCTGTTCAAAACTCTTTATAAGGCACACTTTAAAGGCATAAATACTCTACAGGGACTTGATTTGAAAAAAAAAATCGTAAATACACTGAAAACCAATTAATCCATTAGTATTGCGAAAAAAATTTGTAAATGCATTGAAAACCAATTAATCCGTTCCGGAGGTCAGAAAAAAGTAAAAAAAAGTCTTCCCTGTTCTAAACTCTTTATAAAGTGCACTTTAAAGGCATAGTACTGCATAGGGACATGATTAAAAAAATATGTGTAAATGCATTGAAAACCAATTAATCCATTCATAGTGCGAAAAAAAATGAGTAAACCGAGACATTATTTTCAATGGATTTTCATTCGTAAACCGAAAATTATGTTAACTGAGGCGTTCATAAACTGAGGTACGCCTGTATATATGTGAAGCGCTACAAAAATTGACAGCGCTATATAAGTACCTGTAATAATAATAATTTAAAAAAGCATCAAAAAGACCTCTTCCCAAATGTCCGACAGCGCAATGACGTCAGAGGGAGGCTCCGCCCATATTTTCTATTCATTTGTTTTTACTGATTTGATCGCTTTTTATAGGTATGAGGGCCTTCATAGAGGTTTACTGTTTTACATAGCCCAATATTTTGCTATACATACTTGTGGGTTTAACCAATCATTTTTTGCCTTTTAATTCTTCTTGTAAGGGGTGTGGCAGGGGGTGTGTCCTAGGAATGCATACTAGGTGACGGAATTGCATTCCCCTGCGTTTCAGCTGAATTAAGCCCTGGGCACCTTACTGGAATTCCAAGACGATCGCCAGATTCTCCTCAGGGGCGGACTGAGGATTTGGAAACTTGGACACTGCCCGAGGGCCCCGGGGTCAGTAGGGGGCCCCATGAGATGCCCCGGGTACCTTTTTCATAGGCTTTTTTGAGTTTGGGCAAGGACACAGGGGCCCCATGATCCCCTATTGCCCGGGGGCCCCATGAGTTGTCAGTCCGCCCCTGATTCTCCCTTTCAGCCTTTAACTTGTATACAAAGATTACAAGTCTGGATGCTACGTATCCCGTCTCATCTTCCGCTCGTTTATTATATTTCGTTATACAATTCTTCAGGCCAAATAGAGACAAATTGCGGAAAATGCCCAGCAAATGAAACAGAAGAACGCGGTAATTTGTCTTGAGCCGTCAAGGTGATTGGGGGGATCAGGCGTATTGGTGGGAAATCAAACTTGCCACCAGTGATTATAAAATGCCGGGGTCTCGCCGTCTCAGACATATCGCAGCAGACATCACCCCCCTCCCCCGCCCAGACAGGAAAAACAAGCCGCATTTGCCAAATGTCAATAAATGACTCGGTACCGTTTATTAAAGATGTTGATAGAAAGCCCAAACTTTCAGCTCTCATTTCTATCAAATCATAGACGTGAGATGGATCTGATAAGGGTTGTTTAAGTTGTTCTTGAATGGATGCCTGAGTGCGATCACCGCGTTTACACAAGATAACCAGATTAGGCAGACATTTCCCCGGCTCTCCTAATCTTACATACATCTGACCCATCGGGACAATTTACAGAAAACATTTGAAGAAAGTTCAGCGCTGAATTAGACGCAGGTTCTGTTTATCTTTGACATTCCATTTGGTCTTCAAAATCAAGTTTAAAGCAACCTGGTCGGAACTGGAGCGGGAAGGATAATGAGGTTTTCTGCGGAAACGTTCTGCTTTAGTCTTTCAGCGTGGAGTAGTTTGTAGCACACTAGTGCCCAGCTGTGCATTTAGATGCCCAAAATATTGGTGACCCCTTTATCCCAAGTGTAAGTCTGCCATTGCTTTGAGTATACAAGTGCCAATGTGCTTCCTTCCTTGCTCTGGGTCCCCAGGTGTGGGTGTGTCCTTGTTCTAGGGCCCCAGGTGTGGGTGCGTCATTGTTCTGACCCTCAAAAAAGTCCTTGTGTCATTTTTCATGACCCCCAAGTGTCAGCGTGTCCTTGTTCTGGGGCCCAGGTGTGGGTGCGTCATTGTTCTGACCCTCAAAAAAGTCCTTGTGTCATTTTTCATGACCCCCAAGTGTCA